CCCTCCTCCTTGAGCCTCTCGCTGTGCGCTCCCTTCTCCTCTGCAGCACAGGTCAAGGTTGTGATTTTTCCACTTGTCTGTGACGTGATGTGATTAACGACCATCAGCCCGAGGAGGGTGAGGGTTGTGTTTGCTTTCGCTCACCGTTGTCTCTCCGCTGTCTAGCCGGGTGCCTGGTACATAGTATGTGTTTGATTAAAAACTTGCTGACTGCTGTCCGGGGAGAGATAGGCAGCACACACCACAACTAGGAAAGGGTCTGGGTCTGGAGACCTGGATGGAGGAGGTCTGATTCCCTGAGAGGTGAGGGCTGAAACAGTGGGGATAGGTGGTGTGACCTGGAGAAGAATGACGCAGTGAGAAGAGGACGGGGACTTGTCTCCAGAACCCCCGAGGCCATGCCAGGGTTCTTCCAAGGCAGGAGCCAGGCCTGGATGGGGATGGTTGGAGAGGCTCCTGGGCCCAACCACTCCCGCTCGGGGCCACTGGGGCTGAGCTAAGTGGAAACAAATGTTCCCTGGCTTCCCCCCAGCCCAGTTCTGGTGGGCGAGCAGCAGCCCCTCCTTCTCAGCCCCTGCTCCCCCCTCCCCCTCTTTCCAGCTCCCCTGGGTTCTTTTTCCCTTTGACTGATGGGGTGATGGGAAGGCTGGGTGCGTGGATAGGGTTGAGAGATGTGGAAGATGTGAGGCCGGTGGGCTCTGTGGGGAACCAGGTCCTGGGGTGGGGGGTTCCCTTGGATAAAGACCCAGAGGGAGTCTCAGGGAAACCTGACCTGCAAGACAGGGAAAGACTGGTTAGAGCTGGGAACCAGGCATTTGAGTTCCCACTCTGGGCTGGAAAGGCACATTCTCATGATTTCAGGTGGGCTGTGAAAGCTGGAGTAGAGCATCTGGGATTCAGAAGGGTGAGGAAAGGGATCCTCTCTTTTTTCTATCTCTTTTCTTCCCTCTGTCTCTCTAGAGGGCTGGCCTTTCCTCTCTCTGTTCTCCTGGGACCCAGAGACCTAGTGCCCTGAGGAATTCTCTAGTCCAGTCACCACCCTGAAGGAATGAGAGCTAGGTCCCATTGCTGGGGAAGGAGGGAGGGAGGGATGATGGTAGGGAGGGACAGAGAGAGGGAGGTGATTGGGAGGGGAAGGGTCACAGGCCCAAATTCCTGGGCTCCTGCAGCTTCAGTCATTCTGAGAAACAAAGAAACAGAGAAAGTGATTTAGAGACAGACACAAATAGAGACCGAATTATGGAGATGGGAGAGACGTGAAAAGACACACAGAAAGACAGTGAGAGAGAGAATCCGACAGACAGAGGGCTCTGCTTTCCCCTGCAGCGATTCTGATGTTATCTGTCTCCAGCTGCCTCTCTCCGTCTCCACAGTCCCCACCTCTGCCCCTCCTTCCTCTCCAACCCCACAGCCAGACACCCCTGTCTCTCCTTCCCCACCTCTCTTTTGCGACGAGGCCTAGACCTAAGGCAGAGAGATGGGGGAAGAGGTGGAGGGGGCCCAGAGGACAGAGGGAGAGGGATCAGAGTAGCACCATCCCATTCATGCTGCAGAGGTGATGTGTGTGTGCGTTTGTGTGGGCATGTGATCTCCAGGGAAGCAGGTATGTGTCTCAGCCTGAGCCAGCCCACCTGTGTGTCCATCCAAACCTGTGGGTGAAAGTTACCCAGCATTGTCTAGGAGAGGTGAGGGAGTCCTGTGGTTTCTGTGGGGTATCTGGAAGTCTGTGCCCAGCTGTGGGTGTGTACGAGTGTGCATGCGTGTGCATGCATCTTGATCTGTCTTTGTATGCCTCTGGCTCCATCTCCTAGTTTCCCAGCCCTGCTCCGTGGAGGGTCTTCTAAAGTGACAGTGATGGACTGAAGCCTCAGGAACATCTGAACTCATCTCTCTGAAGGTTTGAGGGCTTAAGGGCAGAAGTCATTGCTCTAGCTCTGACCAGAGGCCAGCCAACCCCTCGATGGGGTGCAGAGAAGGCAGAAGGCAGTGGGCAGAGGCAAGGTTGCCCTTGGGACAGGGGCCCCGGGAACTGGGGCTTCGGGAGGCCTGCCCATCACAGACTGCAGCCCACCCCTCCCCTGCCTCAGTGCTCCTGCAGGCACTACTGGGCCGGCTGACTCTGAAATGGGATTCAGGGGTGCATTGGTGGGGGGAGCACGAGGGCTTGGGGAGTCCAGATATGGCCAAATATTCTACAAGGTCTGGCCAGAGAGAGTACTGCCGGAGGGGTGGGGCCTTCTGCGTGTGTTTGTAGGAAAGGTGGGGGGTGGGGGCAGAAAGGCTGCCTGCGGGGGAGAAGGCTTCTTGGCAAACGCCCCAGTTTCCTGAGCTGATCCCTGCTCCCTGCCACTGCTCCCAATTCTGTTGTTTCAATAACATCATTTTTATCCACCCCACAGAGAGACCGTGTCTTAGGAGGGGGAGGGGAGGGGCAGGGCTAGGGCATGAGGGGGTGGTAATGGAGAGAGGCTGGGGTCTGGAGGCAGCAGGGACTAGATTTGGGGCGATCCCTCCTCAGGCAGAGGCAGGGCGGTCCCAGAGCCCTGGTCCCCTGATGACAAAGACAAATACATTAAAATTCTTGCCTCGGAGAAGAATGCAGGATAGGGAGAGCATTTCATAATCTGCAATAACAGTAGCAGGGTGGGGGCGGGGGACCGGGGGGGGGCAGGAGGTTCAGAACCCAGGCAGTGGTCCCCAGGGGGTTGGTCGTTGGTCACCTGCAGCCTCCAGAGACCCCCAGAGCCCTCCAGCCGCCTGTTCAGCACCATCTGGCCTGAGTGTGTGCCCAACCTGGGCATGTCATTGAGTGTGCAGGGTCTGGAGTTGGCACTGCCCTGCAGCAACAGCAACTGTGTATAAAATTAAGAGGTGCAGGGGCTGTGTATGGCATCTGGATGCTCTTAAGGGCTCAAATGGGAGGGGCTGCACTTGGGCCATGCCCCCCTGGCTATCTCCCTCAGCCACTAGCCCCCTTCTCTAGAACGCTCCAGCACCCTGACCAGAACTCTCAGTACCCAGTACAAGGAATTAGACTGACTCAACCTGGACACCGGGGCCCTGGGGTGGGGCTCCCAGCAAACCCAGGGGCTTCCCTATGTGCCTAGCCCAATGTTTCTCCATTTCCTTTCTCTTCTCCACTTGCTCATCCTTCCTTTCCCAGATCTGCCTCCTCCCCTGGGATAGGCATCTGTGGTCTTTTATTGCAACCCCAGCCCACCTTGACCCACTTGTGCCCACACTCGGAACCTTGCCTTCTCTCTGCTCACCAGGGTGTTCCTCTTACTTCTTTGGGCAGTGGCCTCATTCCCCAAGTTCAGGTGCTCCCCGCCCCTCCCATTCCAGAAGACCGGGAGCTTTCCTCCAGGTGCCTGAAGTTTCTGCCACGCGGGCTTGAGGTCGTCTGTCTGTCCTCTCCACCCAGGAGCACCCTTACAGCTTGATGGCTGCTCTGGACAGCGGTGGCAGGGAGACTGGCCTTTGCTGTGGAATGTCCTGCACCACCTGTCCCTCGGCACCCCTGGGGCACACGGGGCCAGAGGGAGGAGCAGGGACTACAGCTCCCTGCCAGCCCGCTTGGTGTGATGAATGGAGCTGTCCTTCCTCCCCACGGGGCCTTTGATCTCCCCCCGTGGGGAGGGGGCCAGGGGCATCAAAGACATTTTTGTGGCATTAGAGAATCAGATAAACGCCATCTCACCTGCAGCTGGCCCTCCCACCCCCTCTGGCCCCGGCCAAGTTGGGGGGAGCGGCCTGAGGCAGGGACCCACGGACCCACGAGGCCCGGCTGCAGCGAGTTCTGACCCTTCACTCTCTTGGAAGTCTGCAAGCTCCACTCTGTCGCTCGCCTACACGTGCGAGCGCTGGATCGCAGGCCATAAAGAGGTTCTTCTTGCTGTGTCCTCTCCCCTCCGCACCTCCTCCCCTGAAGTCGGGCCTGATGAGGCGGGGGCTGGGGAGGAGAGTGGAGGCCTAGCGCTTCCTCCCGTGCTCAGGGAAAGGCTGAAAGAGGGGCGTGCGGCGCGGAGGCCGGGTCCGGTAAGAGGTGACCCCTCCGGAGTGTGCCCATCGGGCCGTCGAGTTCGACACCCCTAGCCGGAGCACCCAGCGCCCGGGGCCAACTTCCTCTCCTGGCCCCCGCTCCAGCATCCCACTCCGCACCGCCCCCCAACCCAAACTCCCTCATTCCTGGGAAGTTTTCTCTCTTTACAGTCAACAAACCTGTCAAACGTCTCTCTTCCAGCCCGTCCCCCATTCCTCAGCTCCTTTTCCTTCCCCCGCTAACCCTTCTCCACCCTACTTCCCCGCCCCTCCTTGCCCCCGACTCCGGGCGGCGGCCGGGGGCTCCCAGGCGGTGAGAGGCGAGGTGAGGGGGCGAGGCGGGCGGGTCCCCCAGCCACGAGCGCGCTCGGGCCCCGCCCCGGGACCTCGCTCCCGCCCTCCGCTGAGCTCCGCGCCCGCCGCCCCGGGGCGCTCGGCTCCCTCCCGAGAGTCCCGCCGCCTGACTGTCGCAACTGCCACCCCCACGGCCCCCCTGCCCCCCGCCCCCGCCCCGGCCCCCCTCCCCTCCCACCCCCACCCCCGGCTCTGATTTCTTCTCCCGAGCGAGCTCGGCAGGAGACACAGGCGCTGGCTGCCCCGTCCGCTCTCCGCCTCCGCCGCGCCCTCCTCGCCCGGGATGGGCCCCCCCCCCGCCGCCGCCGCCGCCGCCGCCGCCGCCGCCGGAGCCATCGCCTCCCGGCCGCCGCCGCCGTCGCCGCGCTCGCCCTGAAGCCCGGGCCCCCGCGCGCACCGGCTGGCCCCGCAGCCTCGTCCCCTGGCCGCCCCGGCCCGCGGTAGAGCTGTCACGATGCAGCCGCCCGCGCCCTCCCGCCTGAGGCTGCTGTTCCTGCTGCTCCTGTGTCCGGCGCACGTCGGCGGACTGTGGTGGTGAGTACTGCGTCTGACTGTCCCCGCGGGGCTCCTGGAGCTCGAAGGCGGGGACCTCGGGACCGATAGTGGGGCTCTGAATTGTGCTCCTGCCGCCTCCGGGCTCTACCTGTGCGCAGAGCCCAGCCGCCGGGCAGCTGGAGACGTGAGGGGGAGGTGCGTGCCGCTCCTGCCAGCCTCCTCCAGGGGCACTTCTGAAATGCCACTTAGATATGCCCACACACCCCCGCTCCCCCCTTACATTCTACTGTGTTTCCTTCTCCTGTGTCCCACCCCAGATTATGCGCCCAATCCAGGTCACCAAGGAATTGGCAGATGGGTAGGAAAGACATTGGGGAGACGGGCAAGATCTGTAGTCTGAGATCCGAATAAAAGAGTCTGCGAGGAGGGCTTTGGATTTAGGGGAGGAGGGCTGGATTTGGGGAAAAGAGGGGAGCAAGGTGGGAAGCCACAGGCGGGAAGACTCAAACAGCTGCCTCTTCCCCGCCCTGCTTTGCCCACAAACCCACCAGCTTCTGTCTGGGCTCCTCCAGAGTGGGCGGTAGGGGCGGGAAAAGGAGTGTAAAGGGGAAACCGAGTCAGAACCTTAGCTTTCTCTACTTCCTCCTCCCCGACCAAAGAGGAGGAAAGGCAGGAAGGGACCAAGCCTATGCCCTTCCATATGTAGGGGTCATGGGTGAAAAAATGTGCAGCTCGGGACGTACTGGGAACCGCGGAGGGTCCTGGAGGAAGGGAGGGAGGCCTGGCCAGCCAAGGGTTGGGGACGTCTTCCCAGACCTAGCCTCTCGACTTGGCCCTAGCTAGAGCAGACGCCTAGGCAGCTAAGGTTGAGGGAACTTTGAGTCTTGGGAGGTGGACAGAGGCTGGGGAGGTGGGTGCCCGGCCGGGACCGCTCAGAGATCCGGATCCCGTAGACTTTTTTTTCCTTCTCAGTCTCAGGAGCAGCAAAGACCCGCCCGGAATAGTTGTGTTTAGAGAGGAGGGACTTGGACAATACCGCTGGTGCATCAGCCAATCGTAAGAAGGCAAGGTCTTGTCTATTTGCATATCACAATGTCACTGGCTGGATTCTCTACCCTCCACTCCTCTCCCACCCCGGGATTTGGAAGAAGGGGTGGGGCAGGGAGATCCTTCTCTTCTAGGAAGATAGCTGGATGCCCACACAGGGAGCTGCTGGCCACCATCCCACTTCCATGATGTGGGAGAGAAGTCCCTCAGGGTGTCGCTGAGGGGACAAACTGAGGACGACCGAGGTCCTGGCTAGGGAACATGCGTCCTTTGATCCTGACTTAGAATAATGCAGTAGCAGCTTTGAAATAGACAGAGCTGAGATCTAATCTCCCCCATTTGTTAAGCCTGTGACTTTGGGCAAGCCACTTCTCCCTGCTCCCAGATGTCTCAACTGTAGAACAGGGAGTCGGTCCCCCTAGCTGGCAGGCTCCATAGGAGGATTATGTGGGATGACCTACAACATAATTGGACATTAGGAGGTGCTCCTAAATGTAAGTCTCCTCCTCGACACCCCAGGTTCTGGCCAGAGTCCCCATGGGTGAAAAGGGGGATTAATTTAAATGTAAAATCCAGGGTCCCCAGCAAAATTTTGTAAAGGCATCTCTATCTTTTGTTCCCCATGCACACCTTTCCTAACTTTGCCCTTCCTCAAGGTATGGGGACAGGGGTCTCTCCCTGATGGCTGTTGCCTTCCCTTCCCCCTGCCCCATTTGTCCCAATTTTCTCATCCTTCCAGTTAAAAATACCACTTCCTCCATGAAGCTGTCTCTCTGTCTTCCCTCCCTTGCCTTCTCTGTGCTCCCACTGCACTCCATGCATTGGGCAACTATGCCAGTTATGCATTTTACTGACAACCATCTCCTCTTGGGTCTCTTTTCCCTGCTCCTGGAAGGCCAAGCGTTTGTCTTTAGGGCCCGGAAGACTGAAGGTGCTGGGGACAGTTTTATGGAGTGTTGCTGAGTTCATCTTTCTGGGGTTTGTATCCATGGGGGTTCCTTTGTTTAGGAAGGGCTGTTGGGTGGGAGCCACACCAGAGGGAGAGAGACTTGGTCCCTTGGAGACTGACCCTGAAGCTGGAAAGCAGGGAGTGGGGGAGGAGGTGAGGAAGGCAGGTGTGGGAGAACACAGAGGCCTTCATGGCCACAGCTGCAGGGCGAGCCGGGTGAAGAGTGAGGGGTTGGGATGATAAGGTGTCTGGCGAATGCCTCACTCAGATGCTTCTGAGAGGCTCCTGTCATTCCTTGCCCCCCACCCCGGAGGCTTCACCATAAGTAAGAGCTTCTTCAGGCCAGGAGATTCTAGGCTGCTCCCTGATGCCTAGGACTGGTTTGCTGGACCTCTTCTCTCTGCTTCTCAGAGAAGCCAGGCCAGAGCTCTAGCGGTGGACAGGAAAGCAGCTGGCCTCGCAGCAGCCCACTGAAGTCCAGCAGCAGCCCACTGAAGTCCAGGCTGACATTCTAGCAGCAGCCAGGCTGGGAGGAGACAGGACCCCAGGAACTCTGAGCGACTGGACTGTCCCGGTCAGGAAAGGAGGGTCCTGGAGGAGAGCGGCCCAGGCCCTGGAATAGGCTCAGGGACCTGGCTCCAGGTCCCGGAGAAGTTTCGCTTCCACTTTCTTTCCCCCTCCCCCATCTTCTCCGATGCAATGCATGCTTTCTAAACTCTGCCTCTGGCCTCTGTCTGTCTCTCTCCCATCTGTAACCATATCTTTGTGAATTGCAGAATCCCAGATTCCAGGACACTGGCCAGGCTCTCTGGAGGTCATCTTGTCCAGCTTACTGCCTCCAGGCCATCCAGCCTATGCTCTGGCCCTGACAGATCCTGTTCTGGTCATCAGCTCCCACCTCTCCTATCCTGCTCCCTGCCCCCCTTCCCCCCTCCCCCGGGAAGTTCTTCTCAATGTCTGACCCATCTTTATTTATACCTCCAATCAGTGGATGTAGAAAATAGCTCACTCTCACAGAATACCCACATCAGTCTCCCTTCTTCTCCCTTCCTCTTTCCTATTTCTGTTTTATAGTTTCTATGAAAGAAACTAACCCTCCCCTTGTTCCACTAGGAAAAGCACCACTCAGTCTCACTCCCTTCCCCCATCTCATCTTGCCTCCCTTCCCTATGGAAACAGGAACAGACGCCTAGGACAGCCTCACCTCTAGTCCCTCGGGGAAGCAGGGAAAGGACCCAGGCTTCTTCCCGACACCCCGGTTTTCCAGTTGTGACTGCCCCCACCCTTTCCCATCCCCTCTTCCTCTGGGGCCCCTGACCCTTCATGGGCACTCCTGTGGCTGGCCCCCACAGACTCAGGATGGGGCGGGGGTGGGGTGGCCGTCCAGCACCCCCTCCAGGCCTCCCGCTTTGGCAGCTTCCCCTGGAGGGAGACAATGGGGCTGTGAGCAGAAAAGGGCAGGGGCAAAAGGAGGCTGGCTCGGTCCAGGCCAGAGCATGCCCTGAGCCCACCAGAGTCCTGGCACTGTGACATTTCCTGTGGGGTGCAGCCCCCTCCTGCCCCGTTCTCATCAGAAGCCAGGAGTTGGTTGGGGGAGGTCAGTGGGAGGCTTGATCACCAGGGCCCAGTGAGGGGGATTCCAGAGTGTGTGCTTTGATGGAGAAATCCAGCTGTGGAGGGGATGAGGCGAGGGTGGGGCGGGCAGCCAGGCCTCGGTCAGGCTGGCAGTAGGGCACCCAGCCAGCCAGAGCAGGAGGCGCTGGGGAACGCAGAAGCCGGCCCCTGGGGGCTGGAGAGGGTGCCCTCTAGCCTGCGCCTTCCTTCCTGCGGGGGGCAGGCGGGGTGGGGGGGTGAGATCTTGGGTGCTTCCCCTGGACTGCCTGAGGAGGAGCTCGGGGAGGGAAAGGTCGCTGGGAGGGTTCTTCACCCACTTTCCACCTGGCCTCTTGGGCTGGTTTCTCCAGCTTGGAGCCCTCTGTTTAATCCAGAAACGAGATCTAGAAAGGACTTAGAGATCATCTGGTCCAATCTTCTCACTTACAGTGAGAACTCTAGCCAAAGCTCAGGGACAGGAGGTGACTTGCCCAAGGCCCCCCAGAATGCAAGTTGCTGAGGGCTGGGACCGGGAGCCCACCTCCTGCTGAGTACCGCACCCTTGTGTGCTGTGGGGCTCAGGAAAGGGGTACAGGGCCTTCCATGGGCCCCTCTGCTCCCCCATCCCCACGCTCACACAGTGCTCCCCACCTCAGCATGGGAGAGCAGAAGGCACATGACGGATGCTCACTGGCATATCCAGCGGATGGTCACCGTGTCCATGCCTTTGCCTCCCACAGCCCTGACCAATGGGAAGCCCTCTTCTGCAGTGAAGTCATTCAGGGCAGGAAAAGCCCCTGCCTCTTCCAAGAGCAATGAGGAGGAGAGAAGTGTGAGGAGGTGGGAAGGGCAGCACCCAGCACAGGGCAGAGAGAACCAGATTGGGCTGGGGTGGTGGGGGGCTGTGGGGAGGCAGGGGTTAATGGAGCTGGGGCATCACTGGCTTTGATGTGGTGGTCGGGGAGGGAGGAGGGACAGGGGGAGGGGAGGAGGGACAGGGGGAGGGGAGCAGTAATTACCGAGTTAGACAGAGCAGGACAGGACAGGCGGGCCGGGCACAGGCCCGGGCCCAGCTGCCTCAGCAGCCGTCAGGCAACATTTTTCTGCCCCTTCTCCACCACCCACCTCCCCCACCCCTGTGCAGCCCCCGCCCACGGCCCCAGGGCTCAGGGCTCCCTCTGCTGGCTCTTGGGAGTGAGGGTCAGACTAAGGAGCGTGGGGAACTAGCGGGGGGCTGGCTGTGAGACCCTTCAGAGGAGCAGGCATCAGAAGGATCTGTGGTCCTCTCGGCCTCAAGAATCCACCGACCGAGGAGCGCTCGATGGAGAAGGGAGGGGTCCTGGAGGGCGCTCCTGGTCCACGGGCTGGGCTGACAGGGGAGGAGGAGACACTGGGATCCAGGCTAAGTAAGGGCAGAGAGTTGGAGAAAAGCATGTTCTCAGGAATTCACAAACGCTGCCTGATTGCCGTGCGCTGTGCAGGCCCAGGAGATGATTAAGGGTGTGAATAGGAAGACAAAACACTTGTGGAAGTCCACTCTCTGGACAGGCTCTTTTCACAGGTAACCTGGGAAGTAGGCAGGTATTATTTATTTCCATTTTACAGTTGAAGACACTGAGGCTCAGAAGGTTAAGTTTCATCATCCGTTCAACCAATGATAAGTACCAGCTTCCCTTGCTAGGGACTTGCTGACATCATAGAACCAGCAAATGGCAGAGCCCAGACACAAACCCAAGTCCGATGGGTCTTCAGACCCCTGAGTGTGTTCTGCTAATGACGTTTACTTCTTCCTGAGGGCCTTGTCTCGAGTGAGTTCATATCTAATTGGAGAGGGAGGACAAGAAAACATGACAAAATAATTATGCCCCTCGCAGCATAACAAACACCCCCCAAATGAGTGCCACTTGGAGTGATGCAAGTCGGGGAGGTCAGTGAGGGCTGGGGCCCAGGGGAGGCTCCTTAGAGCAGGTGGGATCTGAGGCGAGTTTGGAGAGATGCTGGGTGAGGTTTTGATTACTTAGGGGTGGCGAGGGGTGGCTCTGAGTTAGCCAACCCTGCTCAGAGTAAGGGCTATGTGGAGGATGGCATGCGAGGCCACACGAGGTATCCGAAGACCGCAGGTGGCCGTTTCCTCCGGTCCCTTTGGTTTTTAAAATATTCACCTAAATTTCTCTCAGCGGGGATCCCTCCACTGAGTGGCCAGGGTCAGTCACCTCTCTTCTCACCGTGCTCACCTGTACAATAAGGGTGAAGTGGGTGGAGCTGGACTAGAGTATCTCTGACATTCTCTTCCGCCCTCTGAATCCAGGAATGGAAAGGTAAGTTAGTCCAGAAACCCGGACCTCCAAGGCTTAGATCTACAGATGTTGTCAGTAGGAACTGGCTGCCCCCTGACCAAGGTCCCTGGGAGGGAGATCTTGGCACAGGCCGTGCCAGCTAGAATGGCCAGACCCAGGCTTGTCCCATCTTGTCCGCATACTGATGTCTTTTAGGGCTAGTCTTGTTTTTTCTATGCTGGAGTGACTATCTGTTTAGGATCTCAGATCCTACATGTTATATATTATATATTTCCTACCACCACTGTGCTCCCGTCACCGCCCCCGCTCCAAACACGCAGATGCTCCCAAACGGGCACATCCTCTCTGGGCTGATCTCAGACGAATGCTAACTCAGAGGCCCCGACAGCAGAGTTCATTCCCTAAGGAAGCAGAAGGGAAGGAAGGAGGGTAAAGGAAGAAGGAAGATGGGGGAGTTCTTTGTTGATGCTCTTAAAGATGGTGTTAAAGTTAGACGGGATATTCAAGCCTCTCTCGCCAACTCCTCACTTTTCTGAAGCCCAGAGAGGGAACTGATTTGCCCAGAGTGGCTCAGCTCACCCAGAGCTGACAGAGACCAGGGTACAAAAGCGAGGCCTGTTGTTTTGCCCAATGCTCCTCTGCCAGTCCCCTTCGGAGTTTCCTTTCCTGTGACTTGAAGATGGGAGTGAGGACAGGAGGGCAGGGAACAAGCCAGTCCCTTGGGATTCTAGCCGCTACTATTGCCCATCCCTCCTCCTGACTGACTTGTAAACAAGCCTAGTTCCCAGGCAGCCAGCCAGCCTGGGGAGCCAGACCCGGACCAGAAACCAACTCCGGGGCAGCCCCTCAACGCTGTGAAGGGCCAGCCAGCCCCACCTCCTGGAGGGCCCTGCCTCTCATGCTCCTCTCGATTCCTCTCCTATCTCAAGCTCCTGGGAAAAGGACAAGGTCAAGAGGTGTTTCCCCCTCTTGCCTGCGTACCCACACCGTCTCCTGCTTTCCTAGTGCAGGAGGAGGGAGAGGAGACGGATAGGGCAGAGTAACCTTGGGAAGATAAGGCCAGTCAGCCTTGGGAAAGCAGGGAGTTAGCAGAGGGCAGGATTGGGGAGGGGAGAGTGGGGAACTTAGCGGCGTGGGGGTGGGGCGGGGAAGATGGGTTTGCAGGGCCCCAGACTCCCAGGTGGAGTTCTGGACATGCAGGTGGCAGAAGAGGAGCTGGACAGCTGTGGGCAGGCCCGCTTCCCTGCCTCTGAATGCGGCGGGGGAAAAAGAAAATGTTTGAGGAAGCTAATTAGGAGTCATGAAACCATGTGGACAGGGGCCTGGGCTCAAGTGAGGACCTTCTCCCTAGATGGCTCATTCATTCATTCAAAAACATGTATTAAATGGTATTCATTGTAGTATTATAGTAATTGTTCATAATATGCAAATTTTCATTAAAAATGGGAGGGGGGAATACAAATTAAGTAGCTAAAAATCTGCCACGGGAGACAAAAGAAAATGACGGTCCTAACTCTCAACGTGCTTGCTCCATAGTCTTATCTGCCGACCTTGTACAACCATGCTGGAAGCTGCCCCCCAATCCTTTTTGTAATGAAGTGGGATAAGTAGGTGGAAGGCGGAAGGAGATATATATATATATATATAGAGAGAGAGAGAGAGAGAGAGAGAGAGAGAGGTAAGGACAGGGTTGGGGCTGGACCTTCCCAGGCTACAGCTGGAACACAGTGATGGGCAGGTCCTAAGCATGGAGGAAGAAAGGTCTGGACTATAAGTCTGTCCACTGAGGAGAGAACCTTGGCTCCTGGACTACTTGGGTAGGGGTGATGACAATAACCTGATAGGGTGGTGGTGTGTGTGTGTCACAGGGGGTGGTAGGAGATCTTAAAGGACTGAGCTTACACATCTTCCTGCAACCACATCTTCAAACATCTCACTCCTCAGTGTTGAGAAGTTCTAGCTTAAGACCTAAATTCCTCCTGCTGCTATGTAAGCCCATTACATCTCCTTGCTCTGGGGCCAGAACGTGCCTAGTCAGCACGTACCTACAGAGCAAATGGGGACAGTGGGGCGGATGCACACGAAGACTAAACTGAAAAGTAGGCCATCTTGACCTTTGGCACCTATCCACCAGCATTTTCCATCTCTTGGTGCTGCTTTTCCCAACCCAAAATTTTATTCTGCCTTCCGCTAAAGGATTTTTGAGTGGTTTCAAATTACCCTCAGCCCCCAAGTGCTCAAATAAGAGCAATCCAATTAAAGTGGTTCCACCCGGGTGTCGGTACCTAGCCAGTATAACCTTCAGGGGTATGGTGCATGGCAACCAAAAGCTTGTCTTGCTGCCATCCTGCTCTGAAAAGGTCACAGACCCTGGAGCAGGAGAAGGGTCAGTGTCACTTACTTTACAACAATGCTTCAGAGACTCAGTCCCCAGTTCCTTCCTCCTGCTCTCCTGTTCAGGGAAACAGGGGATATCAGGGTGGGAGGGCCCACTTTAGAGATCAAAGCGTCACCTTCCTATTTGACAGAAAGAGAAATCTGGGCTAGAGAGAAAGTATGACTTTCCTCGGAGGCTCCATTCCCTAGCCACTCTAACCTCCTGTGGCTTTCTCTATCTCTGGGATTGCCACTACTTTTCTAGCATCAGGGCTGATCAGCTGACACATTTCCAGCTTGTGGTCCACTAAGACCAGATCCTTCTCTGTCACTGTCTACTTTTCTTTGGTATCTCTTTATGATATATACTTTCTTTTCTTTGACAGCCTTCTTGATCTTTCTTCGGTTAATTTCCTCCTTGTCTCCCTTTTGGGCTAGGCCTGTTGAATTTTAACTGTGGCCTACCTGGTGCCAGGTGCCTTCACTTTGAGTCAAATTCCTATAAGGATTTATTAATGAAGATGTACACAGAAGGTTAATACTGAATCCTTGCTCTATAGCAATTTCAGTCTAGAACCTAATTAAGAGGGGACACACAAATGGAATAGTAAGAGAACCAGACAGGATAATCTGAATTTCAGTTGTGGGGAGCTGGTGGGTGAAGAGGCATGTCCCAGCTCCTGGCTGTGGGCTGGGCAGGGCTGGTCTCCCTCCCCCTCACCCAAGCTCTTTGAGTCACACCCCTGATCTGCTGTTCTTTGCTTCCCAGGGCCGTGGGCAGCCCCTTGGTCATGGACCCTACCAGCATCTGCAGGAAGGCACGGCGGCTAGCAGGGCGGCAGGCTGAGTTGTGCCAGGCTGAGCCAGAAGTTGTGGCCGAGCTAGCGCGGGGCGCCCGGCTAGGGGTTCGAGAATGCCAGTTCCAGTTCCGCTTCCGCCGCTGGAACTGCTCCAGCCACAGCAAGGCCTTTGGGCGCATCCTGCAGCAGGGTCAGTGTGGGGCGGAGACCAGGAGGGGGCTGCTTTCTCTTCGCTGGGGGATCAGAGGAGAGGGTGGAGGTTTGGGTAGGCTGCCTGAGCCCCACTTCTCCCACGGGTCAAAGGGCACCCTGCCCTGATCCTGTCTCCCAACCCCCCATCACACTGCCTGGCCCACCGCATTCCCCCAGTACCCAGCTTTGGTCCTGCTGTCTGACTGCCCCTCCCCGCCCCCGCAGACATCCGGGAGACGGCCTTCGTGTTTGCCATAACGGCCGCGGGCGCCAGCCACGCCGTCACGCAGGCCTGCTCCATGGGCGAGCTGCTGCAGTGTGGCTGCCAGGCGCCCCGCGGCCGGGCCCCGCCCCGTCCCCCCGGCCTGCCAGGTACCCCTGGGCCCCCGGGCCCCGCGGGCTCCCCCGACGGCAGCGCCGCCTGGGAGTGGGGAGGCTGCGGCGACGACGTGGACTTCGGGGATGAGAAGTCGAGGCTCTTTATGGACGCGCAGCACAAGCGGGGACGCGGAGACATCCGTGCGTTGGTGCAACTTCACAACAACGAGGCGGGCCGGCTGGTGAGTCTGGGCAGGGATGTGTAAGGGTGTGTGTGTGTGGAAATGCGTGTGCGGAAATGTGTGAGTGTGGGCAGCTTTGAAAGGATGTGGGAGAGTGTGGTATGTGCGGAGGACTGAGTTTGTGGAAGGGTGTGGGGAAGTGAGGGTGTGAGTGAGGGTATGCAGTGTAGGAGTTCATTAACGTGTGCAGGGGAGCCAGCGTGGCCATGGGGACCACTTGGGAAGATTGGCTGGGGGCCTGGATGGGCATGTGGGAGGGGAAGTGGCCAGCCTAGAAGAGGGAGTTACTTGGGGGGCCTGGGAGGGCCTGGGGCTGATGGCCCAGTGAGCAGGGTAGGGAGGGGACACCCAGGGAAGAGGACCCAGGGCCTTTAGGGACCTCAGGTAGGGAGGACACACCTCTGAGACAGGACATGTGGGGCAAAGCTTGGGGTAGGTAGGGAGCTGGCTGCCAGGGCAGGGGCAGAGGAGGGAGACAAAGGCTGGGGACGAAAGAAAGGATAGAGGCGAGGTAAAGGTATGGGGTCTGGAGGTAGGGGAGCTGGGAGAAGTTGGGGAGGCCTGGAAATGGACTAAACAGGTCCAAGGGAAAATGGGCTTGGAAAGGAGAGAAGAACGAGAAGTAGATCCTGATGGCAGAAGGGGGTCAGGCAGCGGCCGGAAAGCTGTGATCGGATCTGGGCACTTAACTGGCTGCCCAGCAATCCTAGACCAGTCCCTGTCCAGAGCCCTGGCAGCCTCTCCCCTTCCCTCTGTGAGGATGAGGGTCCCATGAGCTCCTGTTTAGGGACTAGAAGCAGTCTGAGTCAGATGTTTACAGGAGGCGATGGGGGGAAACAGAAGGGGCCTGGGAGCGGGAGGGAGATGTACAGGTCTGTAGATCAGGTTGGCCCCTGGACTCTGAGCTTCCGGAAATGATCTTCCTGGGGCGTCTGACCCCTTAAATCCCTAGTGGGGTTGTGAGTCTTCGACCCCAGCTTCAGACATAAATAGTAAATAAAGGGCAGGACTCCTGGGTTCCAGTTCTCAGTAGTGCGTCCACAGTGGGCCCTCCTGTACCGTATGCCTCAGTTCTAGGTTGTGCTAGGGACCCCCCCACACACACACACATCCTATGTCTTCTAGGGTTCCGGCCTGAGGCATTGGGCAGGGGGGTGAGAGGGGGACCAGAGAGGAATGTCCAGACAGGCCCACATACCTGTCGGAGAGGGTTGGGGAGGGGTGGCGGAGACAGAGCCCAGGCGGCCTGCTCTGCCTGGGGCCCTGAGGAGCAGGAATGAGGGGGTTGGCCTGGCAGGAGGAATAGGGTGCGAAGCTGCCACCTTCCCCACCCGCCTCCCTCCAGGGAGAATCTCTCCCCTGCTGTCCATTATGCTTTCTCCCCCATTCCCTGGCTTTGGATCCCGGAACCTCTACGCTGCATAGTGACCCCCACTCCCCACTTCTCCTACTTCTCCATCATTCTTCCTCCTCCTCTCCGGGCTGTGGGGCCCTTGATTTCCTCCTCCCCACTTTGCGCTCTCCTGTTTTGTTTGTTTGTTTTTGGTCTCTGCTCTTTTCTTTCTTTCATCCACCACCCTCCCCATCTTATTTTCTGTCGGTCTTCTGGGCCTCGCCGCGTCCCGCCTTCCGGATCTGTCTCCATCCGCCCGCGCCTCTGCTCCCCGCAGGCCGTGCGGAGCCACACGCGGACCGAATGCAAGTGCCATGGCCTGTCGGGCTCATGCGCGCTGCGCACCTGCTGGCAGAAGTTGCCCCCGTTCCGCGAGGTGGGCGCGCGGCTGCTCGAGCGCTTCCACGGCGCCTCGCGTGTCATGGGCACCAACGATGGCAAGGCTCTGCTGCCCGCTGTCCGCACGCTCAAGCCGCCTGGCCGCGCTGACCTACTATACGCCGCCGACTCGCCCGACTTCTGCGCCCCCAACCGGCGCACCGGTTCGCCGGGCACGCGCGGCCGCGCCTGCAACAGCAGTGCCCCGGACCTCAGTGGCTGCGACCTGCTGTGCTGCGGCCGCGGCCACCGCCAGGAGAGCGTGCAGCTCGAGGAGAACTGTCTGTGCCGCTTCCACTGGTGCTGCGTAGTGCAGTGCCACCGCTGCCGCGTGCGCAAGGAACTCAGCCTCTGCCTCTGACCCATCGCCCGGCTTCCCAGACTGCGCGCAGAGCCGCCTCTCGGCACCTGCGGGACCTCTGGGCGCCAGCAGGGGGCGTTGCCAGGTTTCCCCTGGGAAAGTCCATCTCCCAGGCCTCTCTAGAAACTGTGAGGCGGTGGGGCTTGAGATATACGCCCGCTCATCAAGGCCCAGGGCACCGGAGGAGCCTCCAAGGGGCGCTTCCCGGGGGCTTCTGGGGGAGACCTCTCTCCTCGGCCCCCAGATAGAAACCAAAGAGCCAGTTTCTAGGCCTCGGGATGCGGGGCTCCTCAGAACTGCTGGCCATGGGGTGGGTGGGTGCATTTAGTATCAATAAAAATATTTAAATCAATAGGACTGGGCCCATAGTTTGGAGGAGGGCTGCCATGGGGACAGGCTCTGAAAGGAGTGAGTAAAGGGAGATGGTTTTGATAGAACTAGCCTCTCAGGGGTCATCACCCTGGTTCCCTATCTTCCCCCTACCGGACTGGGCTCTTCCAGCAACGAAGAGTACCGAATCTCTCCCTTGGCATTCTTCTTGTTCTCTCTAGTACACATCTAGGGCTTGAATCTGCAGGCTGGGGGAGAACTAGGATGCCTCTTGAAAGGAGCAGACTGAGAGGGTCTAGAGAAAGAAGGCCAGAACCTCCGGTGGTGTACTCAGTTCTCACCACAGCCCTTGTCCTAATTCTGGGGCGGGGGTGTGGGGACACCTTTATCTGTCTTTCTGTTTCTGTGGCCCCTGGGGAATTCGAGGGTAGACTTTTAGGGCCACCCAAACTCATAGGATTAAAGCACTTTATAAACTGTAGAACGTGATGAAAATGTTATTAGTAACATCAGCTTTTGTTACCATCAAAACTAACTTCACCCCCATTAACATTGAAAAGACTGCCCAGAATGGCATTTCCAATCACGCTTAGAGGGAGATGAAGCGAAGTTGTCCCAAAGTTTCTCTTGGCATCCAATCACATTTCCTTCTTTCTGATTCCTCTCAGAAAGCTGATGGTGAGGGTAAAGGGACAGAAGAAGGATTTGGGGTTCTGGGTTCGCTAGAACTGGGCCTCAGGCCTCCATCTAACTCCAGAGAGAATGAGAGAGGGTGTAGCCCAATGGCTGGGATTCAGAGCCCCCAATTTTCCCACAGTCCAAATACTGCAGTGGGGAATGACTCTCCCATCAAGGTATGCAGGGCGAAGCATGAGCATTAGATTCAGACACTCTGGGTTGGAAACTAGCGCTGCTGCTTACAAGTTTACAGTATAGGCCATGTTAGCCTCGGTTTCTTTACCTATGCAATGGAAATATCATTCTGTTTCAGTTATCCCTTGCTGCATAACAAACAACCCCAAAGTAACTACTTCTCATGATCCTTTAGGTCAGGAATTGGTCAGGACTCAGCTGCATGTTTCTGCTCCTTATGAGAGAACTATTGGCTCTGGTCATTCACTTGGCTAATTCTGCTGGTGGTTCGGCTGGGCTGGACAGTCCAAGATGCTTCACTCATATACCTCTAGTGCCCCAGAGCTTCTCCAGTGGCCTCCTCTCCATGTAACTAGCTTGGGCTTCCTTATGACATGGTGGCCTCAGTGTAGTCAGACATCTTACATAAGGCTGGCTTTCAAAATAGACTGTACCAAACTTGAAGGCAGAAACTGAAAGTCTCTTCTTAAAGTCCAGGCTTAGAAGTTACCCAGCATCACTGTCACTCCTTTTTGGTTGACACAAGTCACAGAACCAGCCGAAAGTCAAGGGAAGGGGAAACACACTCCACCTCTCAAAGGGACAGTGGCAAAGAATTGACAACCATCATAATCTATCCACATCCTCATAGAATTGTGGGAAGGATTTTTTGAGATATGCAAAGCACTTAGCATCTGACAATAATTTATGACAAATTTGTGTTTAATAAATGGTAGTTACTGTGAGAAAGGGGATAGAGAGCTGATGCTTTTGCAGGCGTTGGGCAGGCCCTGATTGCAAATGAAGATACCCAACTCAAACTAGCTTAGGCCAAAGGGAATTAATGAATGGATCTTACACCTGGGAAGTCCAGGGGTAGGTCTGAAGTTAGGCACCGCTGAACCCAGGGGCCCAAATGATTGATGTCATTGAACACTCTCTTTCTCTCTCTCCCCCCCCTTTCCCTCTCTCTCTCTCCCCCATCTTCTTCCCTAAACCCCCACCCCCATGTCTATCGTTTCCGTTTGTCTCTGTCTCTCTTTTCACACTGCCCTTATGCTCTCCTGCTGCAGAGAGACTTCCTTTATATGGTAGCCGTACGTCTACATTCTTAGTGCTGCTAATCCAGAAAGTAATGGCTTTCCCAACAGAAGCCCTAAGGAAGCTGGGATCAGGTCAGCTGGGGTCGCTTGCCTATCCCTGAACTAACAACAATGTCGAGGAAAATGTACCACCATGACTGGGATTGGCAGCCCCCCTAGGACCACAGGGAATGGGGGCACAGGGAGGGCACATTACTTCAAATGAAACAGAGGGAAGGGGAACTCGTCCTGGATGTGACAGACCCTAACCATGGCTTCCAGTGCATCTTCCCTGCCCTGGCAATGGCCCCGGATCCACCTGTATGACCTAGCCTGGTTCAGCCCTCAAAGATCACACTGGGGCTCCAGAGTGAAGCCTGTATGGAGAAGGGGTATAAGGCTTCAGTGAGAAGGAATGGGCATCTGGGTTTTCTTCCTTCCTTCCTCCTTCCCTTCCTCCCTTCCTCCCTTCCTCCCCCTTCCTCCCTTCCTCCCTTCCTCCCCCTTCCTCCCTTCCTTCCTTCCTTCCTTCCTTCCTCCCCTCCTCCCTTCCTCCCCTTCCTCCCCTTCCTCCCTTCCTCTCTTCCTTCCCCTTCCTCCCTTCCTCCCCCTCCTCCCTTCCCTCCCTTCCTCCCTTCCTTCCTTCCTCCCTTCCTCCCCT